CACTTAGAGAATAAATCCGTATATCTGTAAATAGCGACATTTAAAGAATAAATTCGTATTGTACTCGTTCGAAAGAAATACACGCTTCGTTATTTTCCGGAACCCCCCTTTCCCCGCCGGAACCACTTTCGACTCCTGGACACGCCGGCGAGCTGATCCGCGACTCGAAAGGAAGGTTGTTTCATGGCGCCCGAACAGGGACCTGACCGGAGGAAGGAGGGTTCTGCGGAGATCCCGGAATGGATCTCAGGAACAAGTACGGCCGACTTAATCATCGAGCTAGAGAACCTCGGGTTAAGCACGCAAGGTACCACCGCCGAACTACGCACCCGACTAAGCGACTACGCCCGCCGACACCCGGACGCGTTCCTCGCAGCGGCACCCCCGGTGCTCGCGCGAGCCGAACCCCCGCCTCGCCTCGCGCCCACCGCGATCCCGCGGCCACCCGGCCCCGCTACGGCCCCGCAACTCCGGACTCCCGCCGTCATGGTTGATCTAGGGTCGCCGAAAGTAGAATTACCGCCTACACCCGGGGGGCCATTCGGCACGGAACCCCCGACCGCTAAAATCATTAACCAGATGCGGAAATGGGGCCTCCACTTTGAAGGGAAGGACCCATGGACGTTTCTGGAACGGTCAGCGGAACTAAAACTCGCGTACGGGTTCACAGACCATCAAATGCTGCTCGGACTGCCGGAGCTGCTTAAGGGCGACGCGCTTTTATGGTATCGGAACGCTAGGGACGACTGGGGGAACTGGGGCGAATTCATCACCGATTTTAAGACCGCATTTCTACCGTACCGACACCGCACGCAACTCCAACACGAGATCCGAGACCGCGTACAGAAACTAGGGGAGCCATATTTAAAGTATGCGACCTCGCTGCTCACGCTAATGCGGCGGGCGGGCGGATACTCCCCGCACGATCAGCTCGAGCAGCTATACGAGAATCTCCACCCCGACTATCAGTTGCACATCCGGCGCCGGGATGTCCGTAGCTCCGCGGACCTGATGCTATACGCCGCGGAACTCGAGCAAATACAGGCCCGCCGGAAGGCAACCCCGGTAGAAAAACCTGCCCCACGCGAGATCGCAAATGTAGCCGCGACATACGACCGGTCCGAATGCTGCTGGCGGTGTAAGCAGCGGGGGCACACGCGATTTGATTGCCGACGACCGCCGCGAAAATTCTGTTCGCAGTGTGGCAAAGATGGAGTGCTGACTCGGGACTGTCATCCCCCCGCGGGAAACGAGACCCGGGTCGGCGAGGCCCCGGCCACTCCCCGACCCTCCCCGTAGAATTCCTGCCCCGGCCGCACACGACAATCCGCCTACAGGATCTCGCGATTACCGCACTGATTGATACGGGGTCCGAAATCTCCCTGATGAACGCAAGAACCGCGAAGCAAGCCGAGTCCCGAAACGGTATCCGCCTGCCGGGAGATGGCTACGTACGGCTAGCCGATGGCCGAGAAACCCGTATCCCCGGACACATCCGAATGCGGTTCCGACTTGCGGGAAAACACATCACGCACACGTTCGCCATCATGCCAACGATGAAAAGCCAAATGCTAATCGGGACGGACCTGTGGGCGAAACTCGGCACCGCGCTACCCCCCCCACCACCCCGACTACCGCGCAGCTCCGCGCGCCGGACCGCCGCGATGGGGGGAATTACGCCGCGATCTTCGAACGAGGACGCGCAACTCCGGGAATTCCTCGCGACCGAACTGCCGTTGTTCGACGAGGTGACAGGCCCCACGGACCGGGCGCAGCACCACATTCGCCTGAAAGCGAACGCCGCGCCCATCAAACAACGCTACCGGCCACGAAACCCGGCCATGCAAGCCGTTATCGACGACGAAGTCGATAAAATGACGCGCGAGGGGGTAATCGAAAAGTCACATAGCGCGTGGAGTTCGCCCGTGGTGGTGGTGCGCAAAAAGGACGGCAACTATCGCTTTTGTATAGATTTCCGGCGCGTCAACAGCGTGACCGAACCCGATGCCTACCCTTTGCCGCAGATCACCGCCACGCTAGATAAACTCCGGGGGGCCCGGTACCTCACCACACTAGATTTGAAGAGCGGGTACTGGCAGGTTCCGCTCTCACCGGAGAGCCGGCCGATTACGGCCTTTACGGTACCGGGGAAGGGGCTGTACCAGTTCGTGGTAATGCCGTTTGGGCTACACTCCGCGCCCGCGACGTTCCAACGGCTCCTGGACGCCGTCCTAGGGCCAGAACTCGAGCCACACGTGTTCGTATACCTAGACGACATAATCGTGATCAGCGAATCGTTCGACGAACA